AAAAAAAAACACCGATTTTATTGTTCATGATATCGTGAAAAAAATGTATATACTGAAAATATACTAGGTGAAACGATTTAGTATACCTTATATTCTGCCGCTGGATTACACCTTTGTTCTTGATCACGAAGAATGTTTGTTTTTGTCGATCAAAGTATTGTTGAAAATTCGGCTTTCAATTTTTGGAAATTTGGTCTATTCTAAATCGCCAATGATTAATTATGACAGATTCGAGGTTTATTTTTTCTGTCCATGAAAAACGGAATCTTCCGTTTTTTTCCTTTTTATTTTGATGCCGATTTTTCCCAAAAAAAACTGATCAGATCCCGGAATCCAGGAAGTATATGGTAACAGATAAGATGGTATCTTTATAATTATTTGCCACTCATTTCGTTTGGTTGCTATTTTTTTATCTGATTCGTAGGGTTGCAATTATTTATAAAACTGGTAGGATACGTGTAAATTAGCCTAACATGTATCTTTACCTAATTGCAACAGATCATGTTTATTAAAAAAAATCGGATTGCATAGAAATCGGGCCCAATTTCAAATTAAAAATTAAAATTTAAAGATCCCTTATCATTTGGCTACTACTTTATTTATTTCGGATTTTTTTAAATATAAAACAGAGTCAGATAATATTAATTTGAAATTTAGAATGAAATCGGATTGGAACAAATTTGGATTTTGTTTAATCCTTTAGAATACAAATTTCAAATTGATTGCATACACTTACACAATTTTTCTTTTCCTTAAATTAAGTAATTTACAATTTTAAAATAATAAGGCTTATTTTTTTCTTCCTTAAATTAAGTAATTTACAATTTTAAAATAATAAAGCTATAGATTATCAAGAATGATATTTTACAATCTCCGTTATATTTGCCTATGCAATCTTTATCAAAGCAGTATAAATCATATCATATATAAATAATTTAATTAATTTATTTAAGCCTATCTAGAATCCTACTCTAATTTGTGAAGACAGACGATGTACCAAAAGACCAAACAAATAATGTTGTGTACAAGGATGTGTTTAATAATATAGAAGTTGCATTTTGTTTTATTCTAATACATGCATTTTACGTGCAATCATCCAATTCTAAATGCGTACATTAATAAAACTAGTCGCACGGATACCGCACTAGTCATGATAAATAGATCCACGTACGAAATACTGCAATTTTAAAATCTTCATGAATAATTTCATGAAATATATATATATATATTTCCTTATTTAAATAGATGCTAACATGGTATTCTCACCAGTATTTGCAAAGAATTCATTACATGTATATGTCTAAGATTTTCCTGTTTGACTGCAGAAATTTTAAATTATTAGTTATAGAAATAATGTAATAATAAAAATAGGATAATTTAAGTTTTGAAATTCAATAGAACTAGCGGATGGCTGGCTATGAAAACTAGTGCGTGGCCCGTGCGATGCACGGACCAACAACATTACGATTGTATTATGAATTAAATATATAAGAAACATTGATCATGATTTACCTATTAATTTTAAATTAAACCGGGTTGGACACAGTCCGACCGGATGGACCGGGAACCGGTTTATAACCAGTCTAGTACGCTTGAATAAAATATTTGCTATCGAATCCTTCAACACCGATCGGTTGGACTAGTAGGATCGATACGATTTTCTAAATAGATTTTCCTACATTTAAAATTATTTTAAATAAAATTACATATTTAAATAAAATAGAGATTTATAAACTTTTTATCAATTAGTTTAAACATTTGAATTTATAAATTGTTTAGATATTTAAGTAATTATAAAATATTAAAATATTTATAAATTAAAATCTAAACA